TTGTATATGCCAATATATGTTAGTTATGTGCACATGATTAATTGCTTGTTGCTTGGGTTGAGGCGGTCCTGCTCTATGCTGAAGGCCAACACACCCTATGAGCGGTCCGGGGAGACTGTAGGCCCACGTGGCGGTCCAGTCATGCCGAATGCTCGGTATAGATTCCGTGGGACTGTAGGCCCTGTAGGGCGGACCAGTCAGGCCGATGGCCCAGTATGCATGTTGATTGAATGATTGATGCGGATTTGGTATTATCAGTATGGTATTGGTATTTTGGGGGTAGCTCACTAAGCCCTCGGGCTTACAGTTTTCAGTTTATTGTTTCAGGTACTTCAGGAGTTCATGGCAAGGCGAAGGTGTGACCGTACCGCTCCTCATCCTTATGATATGTTTTTGGGACACTCTGATGGAAAATGATTTGAGAATGTTTTGTAAACATATACTATTTGGTTTTTATTATGGATTGAAAATTTTAAATTTGGCATAAAATTTATGGATGTTACACATGTTGTCATTATAACCGGCTATTCCAGGTTAAGCCGGAAAATGATTTAATAAGGTAATATATTTTTCAGTTTGTACATATTTAGTCCTTAATGTTTTTGTACACATTTAGTCCTTATGACCGATTTCTTTAGATTTTATTCACGTCATCCTACGTGGGACAATCATTAATGAAGTGTTCTCATATGTGGTGTTCTCACTTATATCAGTAATCTAATTCACGAATCGGTCAAATAATGTTGGTGTCCTAGTTTTCTCCAAGCAGAAGATATCTTCGGTTTCGGTTTCATGTATCTTCATAGTAGATAACTAGATTCTTTGTGATTGCTTCCTACCAACTTGAATTTGCATTTCCAAGACTAAAGAATTAAGGAATACGCTAAAAGAATTTGAAATTCCAAGACAAAAAAAGCACCCTAGCAAAAAGTCCATCAATCTATATAGCAAACAACGAGATTCTTTGTGATTGCTTCCTCCCAACTTGAATTTGCACTTCCAAGACAAAGAATATCGTTGCCTTATATGGAGATAGATGAAACCGAAGCCGAAAACATCTTCTGTTAGGAGAAAACTAGGGCACCAACATTATTATACGATTTGTGAATTAGATTATTGATATAAGTTAAGGACGAGCCATGTATGAGAACACATCATTAGTGATTGTCTCACGTAGGATGTCGTGAGCAAAATCTGAAGAAACCGATCATAATGACTAAATGTGTACAAAATGAAAAAAAATATATTACCCTATTAAGTTATTTTCTGGCTTAACCTGGAATAGCTAGTTATAAAGACTAAATGTGGAAAGAAAAGTTAAATGGTCAAATAAAAAAAAGAACCCAGTAACCAAATATATACAAATCAAAAGTACATTCCCATTTTGAAACTATTGTGTGATAGAAAATTGAAACATAATAACCCAATAGAACAAATGATATAAAAAAGATTGAATAAATTCTTATTTTATTGGAATATTTGTAATCATATATTAATATGGATAAATACGGTTGTAATATTAAATAAACAAAACCTAACTTTGTAATAAAAAAATCAATATATTTGTATTCATAAATGAATAATTATAAATAGATAAAACACAATATAAAGATGTAAAAGGAAAAGCTAGATATAATCATGAATGAATAAACCATTGTGTAGATATATATAAAAAATACAATATATTTATAATTATAAATGAATAAAAGACAATATATAGATAATAACAAAAGAAAAAAAAACCAACTATATGTATAATCGTAAATGAATATAACACAATACACGGAAAAAAAATGCAATACATTTTTAATCATAAATGATGGTCTAACGGCAGTTCGCAAAGAAGAAATACAATAGTTAAATGATGATAGCCAATTGCCGATGACGATTGGTGTTGGAGACTCAACTCTTAGTCGACACCTAATAATGTGATACAATTATATCATACTAAACGAATTTCCGCGCGTTGCGCGGCGTAGGTTAAAAATATATTGTTAGAATATAGTTTTCAGACACCTTTTAGTTAATTCGATTCATCAATTTAGGTTCTTTTATTATTATTATATTTAATTTTTTCCTTTTAACTATGTTAAAAAATATATATTGAATTTTTTTTTAAATATTATTTGATATTTTACTTTAGATTTTAAATTTTACATTAAATTTTTAAACTTATTTGATATATTAATGTAGGTTATTTATTTAACTATATATTGAAGTTAACAAATTAAGTATATCATATTGATAAGTCATAAATTCTTTCATTTATGATAATGTTTACAACTAAAAGCATATTTAAGTTAATAAATTAAGCATATTGTATGGAAATATGAAAAGTTGTGAGTTTCAACTGAATGTGGTGAAAGAAAAAATGTTTCCTTTATAATATAGTATGATATGATGATGATATAATGATTATAGTTTTAATTTTTAAGTCATTGTGATATATACAATTATTTGATAATTTTATAAATCGTTTAAAATTGTGTAAATTATATATCAAACGTATGATAATCTGTATATAACAGGTAACAAAATGTATGAACAAAAATATAAACAACAACTTTTAGTAACATAAAAATACAAAACATCTATTATAACATTTGTATTAAAAAAAGATATATATACAACGAATAATAAAAAATATGAAAAATAAACACTATAACTTTTAATAACATAAAAACACTAAAACATTTATTATAACATTTATATTAACTTTTCATATTTAAATCACAAATATCTTCAAATACATTAATATTTTTAATAAGCAAAACTTTACAGCCTTATAAAAGAAATGAAAATAAAAAGTTATTAGTGATTACTAATTAATAATCATAAGTTAAAAACTCTTGAGTTGTAACTAATAAATATACATAAATTAGAAAACTCTTGAGTTGTAGTGTGAGTTTCAAATGAATACGGTACTTGGAAATGTGTATTTATTATTATTATATATATATATATATATATATATATATATATATATATTAAAGTTATGAAGAAAAGGAATAGTGAACTTGTCATTTTTTTGGCAGAATTGGTCCATGTATTATTGTTGGGCTTCAAAGTTAGGAATACTAAATTTGGATGTTTTTTGGCAACTTTGCTCCTCATTCTTTCCCCATTTTGACACTTTTGGTCCTTGCAATCAATATTTTTACACCTTTTTGGAACCTTTTAATATTTAAAGTTACCTTTTCTAAAAAGTTGTTAATGCTACCCCTTTAATTCTTTAGCCATTTTGACACTTCTGTTCGTTGCAGTCAAAACTTTTACATTTTTTCATAAAAACATGAAAAAAACGGTCCGGGGTAAAGCCCGAACTTTTCATCCTTGCACTTTCTATGTCTGTCATATTTATCAATTCGGAAACAACATTGAAAGCTTCTGGCCCCCGCGTAGCGGGGGTAACCTTTCTAGTTAGTATTATTATTATTATTATTATTATTATTATTATATTCGTCTAAATAATTGGTTTTGATGCATCATTTTAATCCCTTCAATTATTAAACATAAAGATATTTAATTATAAATTTTTAATATACATAGGTGTATATATATGTTAAACAAATCACATATAATATATATTTTCGTAAATGTCATATGTAATTTTTTCGTCGTAGTAATATGGATAAAGTATTTTCATATGAAGAACATATCATGATAAGTCATCATAATTACATATCAAATGTTAAAAATTATGTTATCTTTTAAATATTGTCTTGTAAATATGTTGTGTAGGATAACCCAACAAAAAAATAATAGAAAATAAACATAATCAAAATAGAAAACTACAATCAAATAAATAAGAACATTGAGTTGTTGAATATATAAATAAAAATGTTACATAAATATACGTTTAAATCAAAAGAAAAAACTAACATTCGTCTACTTTGCTCAAACAAAAAAAAACCTATATCCGTTTTCTGAATCTTCTTTCTTTATTTAACACAATTCAACCATAGAAACTTGATGGCAATTCTTCACTAACCTGCAATCAAAATGTTTTTCTTGAAAAAGAAGAATGAAAAATATATTCCAAGCAAAACATTGATGTTTGGAGAGTCACATTCAAGATTGAGTAATACATACAAATCACATATAAAGATCAAATGGGAAATTGAATATAAAGAAAGAATAGAAAAGCTTCATTTGTTTTGGTTGAAAGAAAAAATAATATTACAATTATCATCGATGCGACATAACCCATTTATTCAAATCATCATATTTGGATCGTGAATGCTTCAACCATATGAAAACTTTTTGAATCATAATATCTTCAACCAAAATGATGATTTTTTGTAAGAAAAATGTACGAATATAACTACATATATATAATGAATGTGAAAGGGTGTGAGGGTTTCAAATGCATGAGGTGTTGAACTTATAGAGTGTGTGATTTTCTTGGAATGAGATTATGTGTGATTAATTACTTTGAAGGTGAAAGGATGTGGGGGTTTCAAATACTTGAGGTGTTGGTAAATTTTTATGGGGGTTTCAAATGCATAAGATTAAAGAAAAAATGCTAGCTTTATAAGTATGTATGATCCTAAAACTCGAAACGCCCAAACCCTAAAAGATCATATGAACACCAAAATTATAAAAGCATAATACGTATATAAAAAGAAAAAAACAAATTAGAGAGACGATAAAACTACCTAAGATTACCTTATTTCTGTAAGAAAAAATTACAAAATCAAGATAGAGAAAAAAAAAAAACAATATCAAAAACAATTTAGATTCCACTTTTTTGTTACCAACCTTTTCGAATGTATATTTGTAACTTACCCACCGGAATGACTAGTGATATATAAATGAATACATGTTTACTAACTAATATTTCGAGGAAAATTAATTAGGTCAATGAACCATTTTTTACTTATAAACAAATCTAGGTAAAAAAAACTATTGATTTCTCGTCTTACAAAAGCAGCATCATCCAATAGTTTGGTCCAAACTATTGACTTTATCACCAACTTCCCTTTTTTCTTTATTAATATTTAAGATATACTGCTATAACCTGGTGACCTGGTCAATCCTCGGGTTTTCATTTCTCGTCTTACAAAAGCAGCATCATCCAAACGCCCTGCATCTACATAAATATTTGACAACAAAATCCTACCTGGACCATGTAAAGGCTCAGCTTTTGCCAAATTTTCAGCTGCCCTTTCTCCCATTTCAACATCATTATAAATTCTAGCAGCTGCCAACAATGTCCCCCATATCACCACATCTGCCTTCATAGGCATACTCTTTATCACCTCCTCAGCTTCCTCTAATCTCCCTGCTCTACCCAAAAGATCCACCATACACCCATAATGCTTCATATTCGCCTCTATATTATACACACTTTTCATCCTTTCAAAATACCTCTCCCCTTCTTTCACCAATCCACCATGACAACATGCACTTAACACCCCAATAAATGTGATTGAGTTAATCTTTATAACATCATTATATTTATATGTCTCTAACTCCCAAAAGAGCTTTAGAGATAATCTTGCATGTCCATGCATGGCTAAACCACATATAATCGCGTTCCATGGTGAAATGGTGGAAACTTTGGTTTTAACTTGATTGAAGATTTGTAATGCGTTCTTGATGTTCCCACATTTGGCGTACATGTCGATGATGGATGCGCTTAGATTGTCATTCATAGGGATTGAATTTGTGATTATGTATTCATGACCCCATTTTCCATCTTGTAAACTGCCTAGATTAGCAACGGATGAGAGCATGCTTACCATTGTTACTTCGTTTGGTTTAATGCCACTTGATATCATCTTATGGAAAAGGTCTAAAGCCATGTCATGTTGGTTCATTTGGGAGTATCCGGAAATCATTGAGGTCCATGAGAAAACATCTCTTTTGGGCATTTTGTCGAACAGTTGGCGTGCGGATTTAATCATTTTGTTTTTTACTAAGCCTGATATTAGAGCGTTCCATGAAGATGGATTGTTTTTGCTTCCTATTTGGAATTGAGTTTCAGCAAGGGTGATGTTGCCACAAGCTGCATAGAAGTGGATAATGGTTGATTGGATAAAGTCGTGAGAGTCAAACCCTAGTTTTACACTTACACCATGAAACAGTTGGCCTTCGGAAAAGGCTGTTTCTTGGCCACAAACTGAGATTATATCCACCACCATGACATCGTTAGGAGATATCCCAGTATTTAGCATTTCTCGATATAATTTCAAAGCTGGGTTCAGATTTTCAACATGTAAAACACATTCGATGATGGTGCCCCAAGAAACTACATCTCTTTCAGGCATTTTGTCGAACAGGTCTCGTGCCATTCCAGCCATCCTAGCCTTTGAGTACCCATTCAACATTACATTCCACGAAACTATATTTCTCTCTGACATTTCATCAAACAAAATTCTGGCATCACCCAAAGATGAACAGCTGCAATACAGATGAACCAAATTAGTTAAAACAAGATTAGAATTTTCAAGGCCGGATTTAGCAACCAATGCATGAAGAATTTGACTGTTTTTAACCCCAGAAAAATGTGAATAAGATGACAGTACACTCGACAATGTCACTTCATTGGGAGCCAAACCTAACGACTTCATTTCCTTAAATACATGGATTGCTTCTCCCCAAAACCCATGTTTAGCCAACCCCATTATCATCGTGGTAAAAGATACGCTGTTCCTCCCAGACATTTTATCAAACAATTGGCGGGCGTCATTTAAACGACAACAATTCACATAACCAGCAAGCATAATGTTACAAGAAACGCGATCGGATTGAAACCCAGAGACAAACATGGATTCTGCATCGTTTATAGAACCAAACTTGGCATACAAACTGATCAAGCTATTACGTATAAAGATATTGGAGTCAAGTCCTTTCTTGAGGCTATGACAATGGAGATGCTGGCCGTAAAGGAGCGGAGAAGAAAGGGAAGAAGATGATTTCAATGCTTGGACGAGGGCACGTTCGTAATCGTCGAATGTTTTGGTTGTCTTGATGTTGTTTACGCAGCTGTTTTGTGGAAGAGGTGAACTGGAGTAGTATTTCGGAGTTAATTTGCATAATTTTCTTGCGAGAAAGGAAGGAAGAAGTTTGTTTAAGAATGATTTCATTACACTTGATCATCAGAGATCGGCAGGAAGAATAAGATATGTCGAAGTAATACAAAAAAACAACAAATCTGCTTTGGTGCTTTTATCTATCGGAGATGATTTTTTTTTTTATCCTTCACTGAGTAGTTAATGTATGGACAAATATGCCCCTCAGTTTAAATGAATAAATGATTAACACATCTGAATCAACAACAATTCGAAGTTTAAATTTTGAATCAGAATAAAAATATGATTAAGTTTATATTCATGGTTAACATAATAAAAATCAATTCAAGTTTACATTAACAATTATACAAACAGTTAACATCAGAACCAATTCATTGTTTACATTCAAGGTTAACAGTTAACAAAATCAAAATCATATCAAAGTTTACATTCTAAGGTTAATGGTTAACCGCATCAAAATCAATTCAAGTTTACATTCAAAGTTTAACATCAAAATTAATTCAAGTGTACATTCAAGAATCAAAATTTGGAGTCAACTGTTTGAGAGTGGGGTGAAGCCATGCCGACTGAAGAAGCGTTCTTATCGTCATGTGTGTTGTCTGGGGTTCGAAACGTGGTCATGCGTTTTTGGAAACAAGAAACGTGTTCTGTTTATGGTATTTTAAAATTGAATACGATGAGGGGTATAATTGTCCATCCTTTAATTATGCAGTGACAGCGTCAAAATATTCAATGGAAAAATCTAACTCCTTTTAGGCTGAAGGGAGTGGTGTCACCGAAACAGCATTCCCTCCCCCGCCACATAAGCGTCATCTCATTTTTTACCACACAAGTGTGGTTTCTTGCCACACCAGGGGGGTGGTGCCACACTTTTATTTTATTTTATTTTTTATTTTTTTTGTTAACTATTTTAATTTAATAAAACTTATTTTTTTAATAAAAAAAACATAATTTTAAAAAGATAATATTTCATTAATTAAAAATACAAATACCATACATTAGTTAACTTAAAAAAAAAACCTAAAAATTTAGAAAAACAAATTAGAAACATAAAACCTACAACTTAAAAAAAAAACACGCACACCAAACGATTAAAAACTTGAAAAAAAAACTAGAAATTAGCCACGATTGATGTAACGTTTTTTCACTTCCTCCTTCATCGCCAAAACCACTTCAAGCTCGGCCCCGGTCATATTCGACGTGTCCGTCGCTAGTATTCGCATGTCGCTCTCCCTTTGTTTCCGAAGCTCTCTTTCAGAAGCAATTTGCAAAATCTCGTCCATTCTGTCTTTTATACCCTTCATGTCGGCTCCCATTTCTTTCAAATCATCTGAATCTGACGCTTTGCCTTTGCCTTTGCTTTTTGCTTTGTCTCTTCCCATTGGTCGGGAAGGTGGTGAAACTGGAACAGGTTCATCTTCGTTCAGATCAAATTGAACACGAGCATCTGATGTAGTGTGGTCGGACTCAGATGTTCTGCTGCGTTTTGAACCACTGTCGATATGTTCGTCTGATGTTTTGCTACTCAGCCATTTCCTGTTATCTTTCAAAAAATTCCAAACTGCAACAAACTTGAAAGCCTTCAGATTTTCTTTTTGATACACTTTCAACGCTTTCTTCAAAATCACTTCATCGCTTTCTTGTAACACCTGGATTTCCAGGTATATTATTTTAATTACTTATTTTTGCGAATCATTGATCACTCGACGAGTTGGTGCTATAACTCGTCGAGTAGAAGCGGGGTGGCCACGTGAGTTTAATGAACTACTCGACGAGTCCAAGAGTAGACTCGTCGAGTAGGCGCTGTGGATGAAAACCCTAAATCCTCGGGCATGTGCCCTATTTAAGGAACCTTATGGCCCTCATTTGCGGCTACCAGTCCAGAGAGAGAAACCCTAGTGAGCTTGAGCGTGTAGTGTGAGGAGAAGGGCTATTTTAATCCTTGTTGGTGTGGTTTTTGCAAAGAAGAAGGAGATTCCAGCAAAAGAAGGTCAAGGGGGTTGCTATTCTGTGGTTTCAAGCAAGGAAACTCCATCTTTGAGGTATTAAATCGAACCCTTTTCTGTTTTGGTGTAGAACCCTTGAATCTAGGGTTTTCTCTATCCTTTATTGGCTTGGATATGATGCTTATGATGTCCCTTTGAGTGTTAAACTCTGGATCTGGACCTTGAGAGGTCCAGAGAGCCCCAACCTCCCTGCTTTATGCTACTTCCTTAGAGATATGAGCCTAGGTTGCCATTTTAGAGGCTATTTCACCAAAAGAAGCATATTGAACGTTGCATGAGTGTAAAGGTCGGACCTTTACGTGATTATTGAGTATGGTAAGGTCAGATCTATAGGTTAGAGAAACAAATCTGACCTCAGAAGGTCATTTGAGTGTTGCCATGGAAGGAACTCGCCGAGTCCATAAGGGGACTCGACGAGTCGAGTCGGGTTGCCCCGCGATTCATGACCGGTGGTAACCCGTCGAGTGAAAGGTTAACTCGACGAGTCGAGTGAGGATCTTTGAGGATTCGGAAAGACGCCTGGACTCGCCGAGTCACACGAGTGTACTCGACGAGTCTGGTCAAAGTTTGACCGTTGACTTGAGTTGACTTCAGTTGACCGTAGGGTTTTGGTCAAGCTGGTTCTAGAGAGAGACCTGGGAGGGGTAGAATGGTCTTCTACCCACTCCTTAGAAATGAGGACAAGAGAAAGTATTGATTAGAGATGTTATTGTGTTGATAGGAGGAGGCTAGGTCGGGTTATCGAGCACGAGAGGTTATCCGACATCGTACGAGGTGAGTCTTCTCACTATACTTTACCTAAAGTGGTAATATGTGTGACCGGAAGGTCTTATGTGCTATGAGGAGTATGTGATGTATGCTGTTAGTTAATATGTATTTGCTATGTTATGTTATGAGTAGTATGTTATGGACCGGAAGGTCATTATGGGTAGGATCGGAAGGTCTACCAGGATTGTGGGACGGAAGTCCCCTGAGACACATGGACCAGAAGGTCTTGTAGAGCTATAGCCTTGAGTGGCGTTGTGCGTATGTGGTATTTTGGGGAACTCGCTAAGCATTTATGCTTACAGTGTTTGTGTGATGTGTTTCAGGTACCAGTGAGGATCGCGGGAAGGCGCCGGCATGATCTGTACACACTGATGGGATTTATGTATTAGAGATCTTGGGATTTGTTTTATTATGATGACATGTGATACAATGGATTCTTATGATATCTTATGAATGAAATTATGTTTTAAAAATGAAAAATTGTTTTGAAAATTTACGTTGTTACAAGTTGGTATCAGAGCCTTGGTTTGAGGGATTCGGATGCACCTCCGGGCGTATCTGAACTCAAACTGAGGATTTGAGAAATTTTTTCATAAAAGAAACAATTTTTCTAAAAAGTAAAAGAATTTGAGAAAAGCGGAAAGAAGCAGTGTGTACGATCAGTCAGCACCCGAACGGTGATTTCCCAAAATACCCTTACATTATGAGTTATGAGATATGATATGATATGTTATGTATGCTAGAGTAGGCTAGGTATTTTCATATTAGGACTAGAGTGGCCTAATGCCTTAGCCTAGGAGATTACTGTTGCTATGAGATGCTTGAGAGTGAGTAGGTAGCAGTGAGGAGCTTATGAGGGGCCTACCGAAGGGTAGCCTGTGCTTAGCGAGAAGTAGAGTACTTGTGATCTGGGATCCTAGGAGGACTTGGGGTGAATACTGATGCGGTGTGGACGGTAGTATAGGGCCCGTACTACTGAAAACACCGGATCAGTGCGCAGTCCAAGTAAGAATCCTTAGGGTACTAAGGAACAAGTAGGGATGGGTTATCGAGTGCGTGCATACTCGAGCGAGTCTCTGATATTTTTATGTTGTATTTTAGAGACATCATGGTTGGGACAAGCCACAGAGCAGAGACCAGCGGCGTGAGTGACGAGGAGCTTCGTCAGATGATCCACGATGAGGTTGATGCGACTATCCGCGCAGAGATACCAGAGATGTTTGGGTCTATCAAGACCACCCTGATTGAGACGTTTGACGAGAGATACGCAGCAGTTACTGAGGCTGCAGCCGCTGCAGCTACTGCAGCTGTTGCTGCTGCTAGACCTCAGGGGGGTGACTCGTTGCTGTTCCGGGAGTTCAGCAACACGAAGCCACCAGAGTTTGATGGGACGCAGGATCCGATTGTTGCGATGAGATGGATTTCTGACATTGAGGGATGCTTCTACACCTGCTCGTGTCCAGAGCATCTGAGAGTACGGTTCGCGCTGAACCAGCTTCGCTTGGGGGCGAAGGACTGGTGGAAGTTTGTGTCGGCGGATTTCACCCCTGCTGAGCTTACTGCAGTGACCTGGGAGAGGTTCACCACCATGTTTCATGATGAGTACGTTCCCCCGGTGGAAAGGGAACGGCTGGCCCAGGAGTTCTTGTCCCTCAAGCAGGGTACTGATTCTGTTACTGTGATCACCAGGAAGTTTCATGAGAGGGCGATGTTTTGCCCTGAGCATGTGTCTACCGAGCAGGCACGCATGAGCCGGTATCTGAGCATACTGAGGAGAGATATCCGCGAGTTCGTGGCGAACTCGACGTACCGGACGTTTGCCGAGCTTCAGGCAAATGCCCGGAAGAGGGAGATTGAGCTAGAGACTCAGGCCAGGGAGGAGGCCGAGTCTCAGAAGAGTGACAGGCGACCGGTACAGGTACAGCCGGCAGCCAAGCGGGCTAAGCCTGCTGATACAAGATCTGGAGGCCAAAAGGGCCGCACTTGTGGGAAGTGCGGCAAGGGACATGATGGAGTGTGTCGGGCGGGTGCTTGCTACAAATGTGGCAAGGAGGGGCATATAGCCAAGGACTGCCCCAAGGGATTTATGGTTTGCTTTCATTGCAACCAGACGGGTCACCGGAGGGCCGAGTGCCCACAGCTGTCACAGGGATCAGCGCAGGGATCTGCCCCTGCTACTACACGAGCTACTGAGGGTCGGCCAGTGAATGCCGAGGCACCGAAGGCTCGCGGGAGAGCCTTCCAGTTGACAGCGGAGGAGGTCCGCGCAGCACCCGATGT